GATTTATATTTAGATATATTAGTTGTTTACTTGTATGTTCGACAGCTACACAGCCAGAAATCTCACAGGCCTGTCGCAAGCTGTTGATTTTACCGGCTTGCGGCAAGTTGTCAACAAGTCGCGACCATTGAACTATAAATAAACTGGAAGGCTAACTGCTATGATGAAGGCCTATGATTTGATGAAGCCAAAATAGTTTTTCTGAGTTATGAGCAGAAATACTTGACCCCAAACGTCGGGCTATATATCAAATTGAAGCTATTGAAAATTGCTATTCGGTGTTGAAATTTCAAGACTTCGGCGAAAAGAAAAATATTTAAAAAATACAAAAACAACTGCAAAACGGCAAATTATCGGTAATTATGTTTGTAGTTTTTCAATATTTCCCTTTTAGCTAAAGTCTTGAAATTTCTGCACCAAATAGAGTTTTTCAATAGCTTCAATTTGATATATAGCCCAACGTTCAGTGTTGAGTATTTCTGCTCATAACTCAGAAAAACTAAAATGCACTGGCTTCAATTTCCCCCCCTGAGTTAGCCTTCCAGTTTATTTATAGTTCAATGGTCGCGACAGGTTTGTTGGTTTCGTCAGGCGGTAACAGGCTTGCGGGAACAGGTCTGTCGCAAGCTGCTGACAACATAGCCGTAGCGACTTGTTGAAACAACCCGCTACAAACCTGTTACTAACAAGAGATAACAGGTCTGATAGAACAACTTGCAGCAAGTCTGTTGAAATCAACAGGTCTGTTCCAACTTGTTCCAACAGACCTATCGCGAGTTGTTTTTGTCAAGTCTGCAGCAAGCTTGTTATCAGACCTGCGACAGACCTGTCCACAACAAACAATTTTTTTCCTGTCACAACAAGTTTCAACAAGTTTCAACAAGCCTGTTGTTGGGAAACAAATCGAAAATGTGAGTAAAGAGAAAAATCGCACGAAATGGACACGTCCGGCTTCACTTTCTCATTCGAGGCAATATTAAATCACATCAGAGGAGATGAGGCTATGTGCACACGGTAACGTTTTCGAGCGTTTTCACACTAAAACGGATGCAAACACTATCAATTTAATACAACAGAAGCTGTAGTTTATTTAATATATTGGAAATATATTTTCCTTTGGATCGTGTGAACAGGGTGTCAAAACGATTAAAGGAAAAAAAAGGTTTTGAAAACGCTGGAAAACGACGCCCGTGTGAATATAACCTAAGTATCTACTCTGTGATTATAAAATGCAAAAGCCGCTGCCGCTGTTTTTAACTTTTTATATTTTTAAAAAATAATTCCGATTTCCAAAATCCAAATTCCAATTTGCTGACGTGTGCTATCGTTATATTTCTTTAA